TAGGTGTGATGTATTATTTCATCAATTATGTTGCTTAATTTCTTCGTGAACTTGTCGTTTAATGCTCTTTTTTTGAATTATAACATTTTTAGTTTTAGAACATATCACACAGACGCACACCCTGCTCCCGTAATTCTCTTCTCCTGGCTTCCCAAATCGATTGCACCAAAAAAACTTTGAATCACCTAATAACTACAATACTTGTTAAATGCAAGAGTAGTACCTGTCTTGTGGAGTGTGGCTATTCTTGCTGATGTAATTGGAATTGGCTAGTTTAATATTGTTAATCCAGAGCTTTAATTCGCAACTAGTCCTTACATTGACTATTTTAGTACTTATTTACAGTATGACTGCTTTGATATTTCTCCAGTCGTGCACAGAGAAGGTCGCAGTTGCGCCTTGTTCCTCCTAGCTATGCTTCAAATACATTGATTTTATGTCCTTTTACAGTAAAAATATTTGTTTCGCACATTTGGAAAAGTAACCTTTGATGTTTGGAACATGCATGGATATAATTAACAGCGATGAGCATGCATAATCATATCAAAAGGAAATAAGGATATTCGGGTATCTTCTAACTCCTTGTTTCATGTGCTCTCCGGAGATAGTTAAACCAGTGCTAACACTCCTTGATTTGCGTAGTTGTCAAGGGGTTAACTATATTTTTGTATTGATGATAGATTCACCGTCAAATATTTGAAGTTGGGTGGCGCCGGCATGAAAACGAAAAAGTTTGTAACGCTGAACTGAACTGAACTCCCGATAGATGAGAGACAGTTGGAGCTCCCTTGCTTCGGTAAGTCAATAGTTTAAGTTGGGACACCATGTCAATTAACTTTGCTTCCGCTATCACATATTCCACTTCCTTCGACAAGGAACTCGGGATCCGATGTTGATTACCAATGTAAATGCCGGTGTAAGGTTTGGAGTGGTCCATCTGATTAGTTCAGTTATCACGGCTGAGTAATCGAGTCCGACTCTGGCAAGTGAGTGAAAGGTGTGGCAAGAGAGCGAGTAAGTTTGATGCCTGATGGAGAAATTGTTGAAATAATCTAAGGTGATGATACAGGTGGCGGTGGTGTGTCAATGTTGCCTATTTGTTGTTGGTGTTGTTGTTGCTTCTCATACATATTATTAAGACCTTTCATTATAAAATAGGCACTTGTTGCAGGCAAGTTTGAACAAGTTTGAGAAAATATCATGGTGTAGTTTTTATTGTGTGGTCGAACTGTGCAAGAAATTGCATTATATTCTTTCTAAGGGCTTCTTAATCCTTTTGATTTTTCATTTTTTACATGAAGTTCAACTTTCAGAAATTGTCTATGTATTGAGAATTTAAGATTGATTGTACGGCTACTCTGAAAAATAAAATACATTAGAGCGGGATCAGTCTGATGATCATTTTTCAGGGTAAGCTACTCTATTTTGTCAAATTCGAGATACATCTTTCAATGAGAAAAAGAAATCTCTACACTTTTTTTGGCTACTCAGCAGTTAGTTTCGACTATCTATTCGATCAAATAACCTTTGGAAATAACTATATTGTTGATCATACCTTAATCGATAAAGTAAAATTTGATTAACTCCTAAATTTTCTTTTTGAGAGATGGTAATTGTATTAAAAACCGATACACTAAGAAAGTGCTAAATATTTATTAAGTGATCAAAGAACTAAAAGAGAAACCATGTCTAATCTTGTAAGGACTCCAAGAGGCTAAGTATTGATTCTGCTTCACATACCAGTTCTTCTCAACAGCAAAAAGAAAACAAAAGTGATACAAGTAAATTTGATATGTTAAATTGAGGTTCCTTGGCTTTCAAAACATCTAAAGGTTCCTTTCCATCCATGTTTCTAAGCAGGAAGAGAATTCCACCAGACTCTGTAACACTTACCTCTCCCTCATAAGCCATATATTGCACGTTCCTCTTAGTTTTGTTTTAATGTAACAAATGTCTAATTATGAATTATAATTAATTATCTGATAATGTGATAGATCTCCCCCGGTCAAGTAGGCATACATAATTCACAAGATTGCCTAGTTACATTGATGTCGTGCTATAATTTTATATATTTTGACGTTATTTACCTTACTTGCTTGTTGTTTGATTGAGCTTAATAGAGTTTATTTTACATGTAGGAATGCTTGGATATGAAGTGAAGAAAAGTTGTACGAAATGGTACCTCAAAGCTACAAAATGGAGCAATAAAAGAAGACGTGCAAGGCACGGCCATAGACAGTGCAAGGATTTGTCCAGGGCATTATCATTGGCGCCTCTGATAGCGCCTCGCGGGGAAATATTGGCGCCTATGATGGTGCCTCGCGGATTAATGTTGGTGCCTCTAACAGTGCCTCGCGCCGACGATGCTTATCCGAGCCACTTTTATTTTCTCATTATGTTTGGATGTGTAGACCTCGGCCCCACCATATAAATACCTATTAAGTTAATTTTTAAGGGTTAGACAACATTAGAGAGGCAAGAGGCTACGGAACACTTTGGAAGCACGAATTACAAGAGTTTTCTCTTCGCTTTCCTTTAATTTGTAGTTTAATGCATTTGGATATTATTATGATTAGTTACACAATTATGAGTAGCTAAACCCGTCATCTAGGATTGATGGAACCAATTGTTGGATGAAGTCTTGATTGCGTATTTGATAAAATTAAGTCGTTTTTACTCTCTAATTGTTTAACTGTGTGTTTCTTGTGGTTAATTGAAGGGCCCTTGATTAATCCTGTCTAGTATCTTGTGTTACTTGAGAGAGAACCCTTGATTAGATTATTGTTGAACAAAGCCACTTTCAAGTAAGTTAAGAGATTAATTACTTGGATTCAAAAGCAGGATTAGAGATAACAAAGCTTTGGAGCGATCTTTATGAGTTGTAGAATCATCAGCTAGAGTAGTTTCAGAGAATACTTCTAGTAATTTATCGTAATTGATCGAGAGATAATTACGATAAACAAGAACTCATCATCTTTAGAAAGTGTGGCGGCGAGATTATAGCTAACATGTTAGGAATTAACCCGGCAATTGGGAAAGTCATAAACCCTAGATCTTTTTATCCTTGATTCAATCTCATCCCTGCCAGTTGATAATTTTTATTGCTATTTTTTATTAGTTAAGTAATTTTTGTTACTTCACAAATCAAGTCTTGAACTCTGAAAGTGATTGAGCTTGTTATTAGTGATATTGAAAAGTTGTAACAAATAGGTTAATATCTTTGTGGGATTCGACTCCGGACTTGTAAACCGGATTATATTTGCAACGGCCGCTAGACCTCCTAGGAGGCATAGTTGGGCGTGATCAAAAAATCTGGTGTCGTTGCCGGGGAACTAACGGTGTTATTTGTTACAACTTGAAAGAATTGCTAGGATTTTTAGTTTAGATCAATTCTATGTGGTGCTAAAAATATTTTCATAGATGCCAAACTGGTGAACTATTTGAAGCTAAAAATATTCTCACATTTGAATTCTTTTGTGCCTCAGGTGCATGCCTAGAAGCTCCCGGAAATTGGTGAACTATTTGAAGGCCTCTCAGATCCCAAGAAAGCATTCAGGACATTGAATCGGGCTAACAAGAAAGGCAAATAGCTAAAACCAAATGAACAAATTGAAATTGAAATGGGTGACGTCGAGAACATCAAAGGGAACAATAGAAATAATCAAGTTGACCCAAACATCAGAGTAGTAGCATGCCTTGTGCCGGTGGCTGCTCTATATGATTGGGTGCAACCAACCGCTGACAATCTGGCAACTGCAATTGCAGTCCCTTAGATACAAGTGGAAACTTTTCAATTTACAAACAACATGCTGCACTTGCTATAGAACAAAAGGTTGTTCTCTAGGTCTTACATCAAAGACCCACAGCAACATCTGAAGAATCTTTTATCAATTTGTGTCACACAAAGACAGCCGAATATGACATCCGAAGCAATCGGATTGTTACTGTTTCCATTCTCAGTGACTGGGGAGGCTCAAACTTGGCTGAATTCACTCCCAATAAACTCCATTGCTACTTGGGAGGAACTAGTCAAGTAGTTCTTAAACAAGTTTTATCCACCCAACAAGACTGCAAGGCAAATTGTTGAGATACTGCAGTTCAGGCAGAAACCAACTGAAACTTTGCAAGAAACCTGGGAAAGGTTTAAGGGTATGTTGGTGAAGTGTCCACACCATGGCATCCCGGATCAGATGCTAAGACAGAGATTCTACATGGGTTTGGCTGACTAATGTAGATGCTTCAACCGGGGGTGCATTCTTGAACAAATCATGCATAGTGTAAGATTCTTCTTGACAAGATGGCTCAAAATTCAGGCTGGATGGCGAGGGATAGAACACTTACTCCAATAGTGCATTCTGTTGCTCTTGACCCAAACAATACAAATGCAGAAAATATAGCCACTCTTATGACCTAGATGAGCTTGTTGACAAAGAAAATTGACGAGATGGGCACGAAACAAGTTCATATTTTTGAGACAAACGGTGCAGGCCTATGTACTCCTTGCATAAATTAGTCGTATATTTGCTCGTGGGGTGGAGAAAGTGATAACCAAGCTTCAGAGAAGACATGAATTACGTGAATAATTTTGGGGGTCAGAGACAAGGTGGACAACAATGGGGACCTCAGAATCAGCAGTACAGACTAGCCCAGCAATAGTACAATACCAATCCGGGGGGAGCACGACCACAGGGCCAAGTTATGCCCTATCAAAGGCAACCAGGTTACATCAACAGCATCAACAACAGTTGGCTTACCAACAACCTCAACAACAGCAAGTGACCAGATAGGAAAACAGTAATATGATAGAAATCAAGGGCATGTTGCAACAAATCATTGGGACAAATGGAAAGATGCAAGAAAAGTCAGTCGCACATGACTCGACTATTAAAGGCATTGAAACTCAGTTAGGCCAGCTTTCCATGGCTTTAAACAATTACCCACAAGGAACGTTGCCTGCAGACACAAACATCAATCTAAAATAGCAGAACCCCAATCAATTAATGGCAGTGAGTCTCGGGAATGGAATGGATTTGGACAGAGACCGAGAAGTTGCTCAATCTAATAGAAAAATAGTGCCACTTACTCCAGTGACATTCGATATTGATGAGTCGACGGAGCTTACAAAGGTTGTAATTAAACAAGCACAAGTTGACAAAGGCAAAGAGAAAGAAATTGATCAGTTCCCAGAACAGGTATTAGAAAAGACTTCTAATCGGAAAAAGATACAAAGCAGTGTGCAGAAGCAACCTCCAGTACCATTCCCGCAAAGGTTGGCAAAGCAAAAAAAATATGATCAATACAGGAAATTCATGGAAATGCTAAGGCAAATTCAATTGGATATCCCTCTAATAGATGCTTTGAGGGAAATGGCAGGCTACGCTAAGATGATGAAGGATTTTATGTCTCAAAAGTTTGACTTCCAGGACCTGTCTACTATGGATTCGACTCAAACTTGTAGTGATGTAGTGACAAGGCCTATGGCTCAAAAGTTATCTGATCCCGGTAGTTTCACTATCCCATGCACAATTAGAAGTTATGCTTTTGCCAAAGCATTGTGTGACTTGGGGGCCAGTATTAACTTGATGCCTTTGGCAATCTATACAAAATTAGGCATTGGTAGAGCTAGACCAACCTAAATGTTGCTGCAACTGGTTGATCGCACAGTGAAAAGGCCAACATGAATTCTCGATGATGTGCTCGTTCCAGTAGGAAAGTTTGTATTTCTTGTTGATTATGTTATTCTGGACTGCCAAATTGACGAAAAAATACCCATAATTTTTGGAAGGCCATTCTTGGCTACTGGGAGAGCATTGACTTACTGTGAGACCGGAGAGTTAAAAATGAGATTAAAAAATGAAGGAATAATATTCAATGTTCAACAATTTATGAGGAGACCCAGCGAGTTTGTAAATTGTTCGCTAGTAGAGGCAGTTGATGTGATATTATAAGAGGAGGATGAAACTCTTCATGTTAGAGACCCATTAGAAGCTTGCTTGATGAATCTAAAAGAAGTTGACGGTGAAGAGTTGGCGGAGTGGGTTATGGATCTTGAAGGTCAAGGTTTCTGGAAAAGAGAACCTCAATTTGAGCCCTTACACTTAGCAGAAAGAAAAACACCACAAGTGAAGCCGTCTATAGATGAGCCACCACAGTTGGACCTGAAACAGCTTCCAGCTCACCTCAGGTACGCTTTCTTAGGACCTAACTCTACTTTACATGTTATCATCTCATCTGGTTTGTTAGTTGTGCAGGTAGATCAACTCTTACAGGTGTTACAAGAATGCAAGACTGTTATTGGTTGGACCATGGCAGACATTAAGGGTATCAACCCGGCCTTTTGCATGCATAATATTCTCTTGAAATAGGGGCACAAGCCTTCCAAGGAACATCAAAAAGGCTGAACTCGAATATGAAGGAAGTGGTGAACAAGGAAGTGATTAAGTAGTTGGATGTGGGCATCATCTTTCCTATTTCGGATAGCGTCTGGGTAAGCCCAGTCCAATGTGTTCCAAAGAAAGTTGGCATGACTGTTATACAGAATGAGAATAATGAGTTGATCTCTACTTGTACAGTCACGGGTTGGCGAATTTGCATGGATTACAGAAAATTGAACACTGCCACCGGGAAAGACCACTTTCCCCTACCGTCCATTGACCAGATATTGGATAGATTGGCAGGGAAGTCTTACTTCTGCTTTTGGATGGATATACGGGGTACAATCAGATCACAATAGCCCCTGATGATAGAGAGAAAACGTCATTCACGTGTCCGTATGGCATCTTTGCCTTTCGAAGAATGTCGTTTGGCCTATGCAATGCACCGGCCACTTTCTAGAGGTGTATGCTAGCCATTTTCATTGATATGGTTGAAGATATTATGGAAGTCTTTATGGATGATTTCTCAGTGGTAGGGAATTCATTCGATGACTATCTTAACAATTTGAGAAGAGTGTTGAAAAGGTGTGTGGAGAAAAACTTGGTGCTGAACTGGGAGAAGCGTCATTTTATGGTACAAGAAGGTATAGTTTTGGGGCATCGAGTGTCAAGTAAGGGTATTGAGGTTGACGTGATAGAGAAGTTTCCACCGCCCACTTCGGTCAAGGCTGTAAGAAGTTTCCTTGGGCACTCTGGTTTCTACAGGCGATTTATAAAGAATTTCTCTAGAATTGCTAATCCCTTATGCAAACTGCTTGAAAAGGATCACACCTTTGTGTTTTCTGATAATTGCAGGTTAGCATTTGAGGAGCTGAAGAAGAGATTGGTGACTGCACCAATCATCGTTGCACCCGACTGGGAATAGCCTTTTGAGCTCATATGTGATGTGGGTGACCATGTTATAGGAGCAGTTTTGGGGCAGCAAAAGGACAAAATGGTGCATCCAAATTACTATGCAAGTAGAACGCTAAGCGGTGTACAACTCAATTATACCGTGACTGAGAAAACGATGTTAGCTGTAGTGTTTGCATTCGACTAATTCAGGTCTTATTTGATAGGTTCAAAAGTGATTGTTTATAATGACCATGCAGCACTTAGGTTCTTTTGCTACAATAATTCGATTTGGAGATCCACGATAGGAAAGGAATGGAGAACCAAGTGGCAGACCACCTTCCAAGGTTGGAGAGAGCTGAAAAGAAAGTAGAGATTGAAGATATAACGGAGACATTCCCGGATGAACAATTACTAGTAGTGGCAATGGAGGAGATGCCTTGGTATAGATGATATTGCTAACTATTTGGCAAGCGGTTTATACCTTATGAACTCTCTTTGATTCAAAAGAAAAAGTTCTTCCGTGATTGTTGGTCTTATTACTGGGATGAACCTTTACTTTTAAATCTATGTGGATAACATGATCCGGAGGTGTATCCCCGAGAAAGATCAATCTTGTGTTTTGTAGGCCTGCCACGCTTCACTATATGGTGGGCACTTTGGAGGAATTCAGACAACTGCGAAGATGTTGGAGTCGGATCTGTATTGGCCAACGTTATTCAAGGATGCCCATGCCTGGGTGAAAATTTGTGATGAGTGCCAAAGAACCGGCAACATACCTCGCTGTCATGAGATGCTAATGACTACAATTCAAGAGGTGGAAGTGTTTGACGTGGTGGGGATTGATTTTATGGGATCATTTGTCAGCTCGTATGGTAACAAGTACATATTGGTAGCAGTTGACTATGTCTCCAAATGGTGAAGTTGTGGTTCTTCCAACAAATGATGTCAAAGGAGTAATAGGATTTCTAAGGAGAAAAAATTTCGCACAGTTTGGCACTCCGAGAGCTATAATCAGTAATTGTGGAACTCATTTCTGCAATAGAGCGTTCGCAAGGCTATTAGAAAAAGTATGGAGTTCGCCATAAGATTGCCACACCTTACCACCCGCAAACGAGCGGGCAAGTGGAAGTGTCCAACAGGGAAATCAAAAGTGTCCTGACCAAGATAGTGAATGCGACTCGGACTGATTGGGCAAGGAAGTTGAATAATGCGTTATGGGCTTACCGCACAGCATTTAAAACTCTAATCGGTAAGTCTCAGTACAAGTTGGTTTTTGGAAAAGCATGCCATCTTCCGGTGGATCTTGAGCATAAAGCCTTATGGGCACTGCGGCAGTTGAATTTGGCTATGGAAACCGCGGGCACAAGTAGAGTTACAGAGTTACATGAACTCGAGAAATTCCGGTTCCAGGCATTCGAGAGTACAAGATTGTATAAGGAAAGGATGAAGATGATGCATGATAAGAACATCCTAGATAGAACTTCAAACCCGGAGATCTAGTGGTGTTATACAACTCGAATTGAGATTATTTCCGAGTAAGCTGAAATCTAGATGGTCGGGACCATTTTGAGTTGTGCAAGTGTTCCCAAGTGGAGTTGTAGAAAATGAGTCTGAAGATGGGACAAACAGGTTTAAAGTGAATGGGCAAAGGTTGAAACACTACCTTGGAATGATTGAAGAAAAAAGGGAGAAAGATGTGATGTACTTGGAAGAGCCCCAATATGTGACCGAAGTGTAATCCTGAAAGCCTACGTCGTGCCGCGACGTTAAATCAGGCGCTTCCTGGGAGGCAACCCATGGTTATGTTTTATTCGTCATGCCATGACGTTAACTAAGGCGCTTATTGGGAGGCAACCCAATTCGTAGAGTAGATTTAGTTTAACTTTTGTTTTTTATTTTTTATAAAGAAGCGGACTAACAAGTTAGCTTTATGTGAATCTTACATGTTTTGCTAGGTGTTTAAGGTACTTGGAGAAAATGATGTGATCGAGAGCCATAGCAAGAGGTAAGCATGTGAAAATTATTGTAGATCAGGCACAAAAACGCCTTGTGGGCAAGCCTTATGAAGCCTAGCATCGGAAACACGCTGCCTACAACTTTGCCCCGTGTAAATACTACAGCGCCCCACAGTCTGCCTCGACATGCTATAGCGCCAAGCATCTAAAACAAAACCTTCTGCCTAACTCCCAGCCCCATTGTCATGTGCCCAAGCAGAAACCAAAAATCCCAACTCCTCAAGCCACCACCTCACCCCACTGCCTCGTTCTCTCTCTCAATTCCCAAGTATGTCTTTCTCTCTCTCTCTCTCTCCTCTATTCTCTCTTTTTCTATGTAAATTCTAGTTGTTGGGTAATATGCTCTACAAGGTGCAATAATGATGCAATTGTGCTAAAAAAATTCCCAACCCCAAATACCCCATAGGATATCTTGTGATTGTTATACTGAGTGTTTCCCACTCGATTCCCAAGCCGATTTGGGAGGGTGGAGCAATCATTCACCCACAAAGAAACTCACACACAAATAATGCATACAAGATTTGATAACTTGCCTCATTGGCGATTTTAGTCCCACAAATAATGCAACAATCCCGAGTCTCTGGGATTGTTGGTTTTGTGTTAGGTGAGCATGATTGATATGAAAACCTAAGTGTGGGTGACTCTACGAAGTCGGGGTGGATTGATAAAGTGTGTTTGCAATGACATACGGGTTATGTGTAGTCAGAGGCGGAACCACGATTTGAAGCTAATGGGTTCGGTGTTCTATTCCTTCTAAGTTACTAGGTTCTAAATTAATAATTTATACATATTCTATAAATTTTTAAAGGCAAATATAGAGTTTTGAACCAAAGCTACTGAGTTCAGCCGAACCCACATCAGAATCTCTAGCTCCGGCATTGTGTGTAGTACCGCAATTTAGATGCTAATGCACTTACTTGATGAAGGCGAAGTCTGAGTAGCCTATGGTTTAAAGTAATTAGCATATTTTAGAGCTTCAAGTGTGGGGTCACTTTGACCTTATTTTTGTGATAGTTCTTGTTGTAAAGTGGCAAAAATTTAGCCACTTTTCATGTAAAGATAAATCTGAACGAAAACACTGTTTATTATAGTGGAACTTTCCGCGTGTCGGAGTTCCAACATAATATACTAAAAGTTCATACACAGGTGCACTGATCTCCCGTATATTATGCTGTAACTTTCCGTGTTGCAGCAAAATAATGGCTATTTTTCAATGACTTTGCAAACGCTAGCTATTTTTGAATGACCAGTCTGAAAACTAGCTAGCTCGTGCTATTTTTACATTAAGGTCACGAAAAGCCTTCTTGCAGGGTCCTATCAAAAGACCATTTCTGCCAAGCAATAACCAATATAGTACCATATTTTACTCGAGAAATAGTGTTGTCAAGGCAACTTCAGAAAAACGCAATCTAAACACAATCCAATTTCGTTTTAGTGGAGCTACCATCAACGATCTAACCAAATTTCAGACTCCGTGTGAAAAGATCTGTTCTTTGAAAATAATGAAGAGGAAAAAAGAGAAACTTGGAGAACCCATGATTTATGCAATAGAACCTTTAATGTTGATGGCGAAACATCATACACGGTCCCATATAATTGAATAATTTGAATGTCTATCACCTGAACAGCTGCAATGATAAGTTGGACACAATTTGCCGTAAACTTTGTCTGCATAAAACGAGGCAAGGAATGAAAGAAATTTCACCCTGAATCATTCATTCTTTACAGTGCTAGTCAACAACAATGTTCACATAATCCGGAAATCAATTCTTTTTCTCTAAAAATAAACAAGGGGAATCAACATTGTGAGAACTCCGTAAGAGCATCTCGTATTGATTTGGACTCGTATCTTAATGGCCTTCATCCATGGGATCACTTCTGTTACACGTTTGAGATCTTACATCCTTCTCATCCTGCCTTGACTCGTTGGATCCTGATGCACCGGAAACAGAATCTTCCAGTGCCTCGAGAAAAGATGGGACCGTTAACTTATCTGCACAAATTGTACATAAACAATAACCAATTTCAAAACTCAAACAGCACTTACAATTTGATCGTCCCAGCATGAATCAGTGCATCAGAAATGACTTAGAAACAAAGTTCTGGTACTAAATCAGCAACGACCAGTTGAAATGCTAAATCAGAGGTATGACCAGCGGGACTAAGATAAATAGAGTTACACTCACATGAACTGGAGCTCAAGGTGCCAAAAGGTAAAGGTTTGATACTTTACCCACTTTGGCATGATTAAGAAATTGAGTATGGCAGGGTAAAGTAATGGCTTATAATTTACAATATCGAACTATCGTATTATATCACATCATATACGGGGCCATCCCAGATTAAAATCAGTTTATATTAGTATAGATTGTTGGGGGGAAGAGCAATCTTCCATTTAAGGAAAAATTTCGATCTTATTAAGGATGGAGCCACAAAAGGAGAGGAAGTCAAAAGTATTTCGGCTCAGAGGGAAGAGTAAACATCATCCACAAGCAAACACAATTTAACAGAGATGACAAGGGATTAGACAAAAACTCGATCATTTGGAAAAATTAAGTAGTTATTGGAAATTAATCTATTAGAGTGTTCCATTCCTTTTAGCTACCAAGATGAATTATAACTCAATGCTTGCTTACATTGACTGGGATCAATTCCAAACTGAGCCAGATCTATTTGTCCAGTTCGAAGAACCTGCAGTGAGAAGAGAGTCAAATTACAAACACAACCTGCAAGCAATACCTAAAAAGCTGAAGCGGCAGGACAGAGAACTTGATCACTCACATAAGTAAACGAGTCTAGTTGCTGGCGGAATGGGGGACTCTGCAGCAACTCCAATAATTCATGTGGTGTCCAATGGCCCTGCAAACATGACAATTTTCAAGGTAACGTCACCACTGCAATTCTTGTAGTTTGGGAAACAATGGAGCCAAATTTTTACCTCAGGCAAGTATGAAGCTAGTTCTCCTTCTAGTGGTATTTCTTCAATCAGTGGTAATATGAGCTCAGGCCTCAAAATATCTCCCAATCCCAATCCTGGTACAGAAGCAAGATAAGTTAAAAACAATGGTGTATATGCTATATTGTTTGTATTACATGAACGACCAGATCTGGGCTTGATTCAAGTGAAAAGTATTGCTGTACTCGTACTCGTTTGGCATTAAAATTTCTAGATGGTGTTCTTCAATTGCAAGGGAAAAAAAAGAGGTAAAGGAGAACCCTCGTAAGAAAAATAGAAGGCAGCAAATGAAGCAGACTATACATCAAGCTTTAATTCCTGTATACCAAAAAATTGCTAAATATTCTTCACTCTAATTTTAATCAACATCTCAACAACAGTTTAACTGCATCAAAATCCTTTTAACATAAAAATAGTGAATTACAGTATGCCGTAACCAAACATAAAAATGCTCAAACAAATTATGAGTCAACCAAATGCCTACCTGCATCAGGATCTACAGCCTCATCTGCACCAACCATAAGAAATAACATTATGTCCAAATGGAGATTAAATGATAGAGATTGTTAGTCATAACAAAAATTGAAGGGAAGCAGTCAACTAAACCTGTGGATCCTATGTTACTCAATATTCTTTGAAGATCAGCCAACTTTACAGGACCCGAAGACGTTACATCACTACTTGCTTCAGTATTCATGCTTGCACTAACCAAATTTCCCGCCCTGAAAGAGCTCAGCCAGATATTTAAATATTTCCAGCCTCCAGCAATTTCATAGAGATAAAGTTGGTCGTGTACTACTACTTAAAAGGAACACCAAAAGGAAAACAAATCAATCAATTAATCAACTATGCCTCTTGCAGGCCTTCGGAGACAGGTAATCTGTTCGGCCTAAGACTGAAGCAGCATAGTCAGCGAGGAATAATATAGCCGACCCCAACTTGCTTAGGATTGAGTCGTAGTAGTTGGTGCTGTCTCAACCTTGAACTAGTCGCTTGTGTTCTTAAGTAAACGTGAAGTGAGATAAACCCATTTGCATGAGTCCTTAAAAATCTTTGTTAGCATATAAATCTTCCCAATTTTTGTAGCAAGATGCAACTTCAAAAATAGATCTTATACTGCTCAACTATATTAGCATTACCTCGATGAAATATCTTCCTCTACCATATCTTCAGAATTTGGTAATGGAGCTGAAGCTTCAGGCTCATCTTCACCAGGGAACTCTATCCAAACAAGTTTAAAATATACCAAAGTTAAAACAGGTATGTTAAATAATCTTCCAACTTTGGGGAATAATAGAAGTTATACAGATAAAAAACGTCAAATAACATCAGCCAAATGTAGGTACTGTAAAAATATATTAGAGTGCATTCCCCCAAATTAGAATTCCATTTCCAGCCCCGTTAGGTTGTTACAACGAGTACTACACCTCAACCCTAAACTAGCCCCCTTAAAGTTCTTAAAGGTAAAAGATTCACACTTGACACATAATAAATGGAAAATGTTAAGAGCCAAACAACATGACACTTGATGAATAATATTTTCATGAATTGGTATCAATCTAACAATTTAAAAATGTTAGAAATAAATAAAAAAAAAAAAAGAACCAAACAACATGAAATACACACAAGGCTCAGGAAGAGCCTGCCACATTGCAAGTGCATGATGCATAACTATATCACAACTCAGAAAGAAAAAGAAACAAGGGATGGCTAGTCGACAGCTAAACTCGAGTCTGCAAGATCAAAATAGGCAGACAGGAAAGAATGAAACTTAAGGCAGAGAGACATTGGACTGATATCTTGAAAACTCTTAATATTTGTTGCGCTAATCCTCGTATAATCATAAATTAAGTTGGTAGAAGATGTATTATTCTTTTTCCAAATCAACTTTCAAGATATTAAACTTTAAAAAGGAAATAAAGCAAAATTAAAAGGGAAAAAATAGTAAGAATTAAAAACAACAAAAACAGGAATAAATCTTGACTACCAAGTGGTTGATTCAAGTGGAAGTTGACTGAGCTACATATCTGTGCATCATTGTCAGCTGCTGGCTCCTGCACGAAATGAAAGGATAAATTATCACAATGCATGTTCTTGTAACTCAAAAGCATACAGAAATATCCATGGCAACAGAAGTGACCTGTATCCAAAAGAAAAACTTTCTATCGTCGGTACAGAACTTCAAGATGTAGACCCTTCCAGATGATTGATTGACCTGAAGAGTACCAGACAACGATGGATTGATAACAGATATTAATTAATGTCAGAACCTCTGAATGACAAATTAAAGAAAAATATTTAGATGGGAGGAAAGTTTGGACCTCCTGTAAGTAAATAATGAATATTTAGATCAAGAGTTAATTCCCATGGTCACCCAACTTATGGGAATATCCTACCAAAGTCTGGTTTGGGACAGCAAAGTCACCCAACTATTGCTTTTTTTTTAGCTCAGAAATAAATAACACTCATTTGGCATGCCATGTCATATAAAAATATACCTTTTAATGATAAACCATTTAACGCACATCCCTTATACCCATTTAACCCACCCAATAAGAAAATCGATCTATATTGAAAAAGATGATCTATTATATTAATGTTGAGAACTTTCCAAAGCAGTGCCAATTATATTCTTTTCAGACTATAATATACTAAAAGATTAGAGTGATTAACAGTTTTACAGTGATTTACAGTCTCTAGAGGCCAGATAATAGTGTGAAAGAGGGTGGTGGAAGCCAAAACATTACAAATTATAAAGTTAATTACTCATTTCTTAAAAATTAAAAGGCCAAGTAAATAACCTATTTTTAATTTGACATAAACTGTACTGCATGTATACTTCCCTATGGAGACACTGGACTCCCGGGTTTGTTTTTAAAATACGATTTTAAACATAATTCTGAAAAAAGATTCGTGTATTTAGCTTTCGTACACTGATTCTGGATTAAAAGCAAAATTCTCATTGGTTTTGGATTTCTATTCTAGATTTCTAAAGCCTCAATTTTTGGATGTAAAAGCACTTGAGTCGAGAACCAAAGAAAAGAGCTTCTACTCTCGGATTTGGTGGGAATACAACAGGAGCAAGCACAGGTATTTAATTACCTCACAGATGTTTCTGAGATTAAAAAGAAGCTAATTTAATGACTTTGAAAATGTGAAGTACTTCCTCCGATCAAAAGGTTTGTCTATCTTTGTTGCTTCGATCCTTTTAACGAGAATTTACTTTGTTAAAAACAAGAACTTAGTTATTTTAAAGTAGACCCATTTTCTTATCGGATGGGTTAAATGGGTACAATAGACATTGGTTAAATGGGTTTTATCATTAAAACATATTTTTTAATATGACATGGCATACCAAATGGGTGTTCTTTATTTTCTTTGGGTGACTTTGTTGTCCCAAACCAAACAAAAGTGTGCTATTCCCATAAGTTGGGTGACCATTCGGGGAATTAACTCTTAGATTGACAATCATGTTTAGAGTCACTCATTAGTCGTTAGACAATATTGATTCTGTATCTTGTGAACTTCATCTTAAACATTACAGAAATCTTTTGTTGCAATTGGCTAGTTCTTCAGTGATTAAAGTATAAAGCAACGGGTAATAGAAATACCTTCTCAAAAACTGCCTCCTCTGGGAAAACAATCTGATCCTGTGATCAACTTTTGTCAAGAAACAACTCTCAGATTTTTATTAATCGCTGTAAATGGTACTATTTCCAGAATAAGAGCAATGATCAATAAAATAAAAGTGAAGCAATACCAAAGACAGAATTCACTATGATTTGGCAGGAAAAAGGATACATCTTCGACAATGTTGAGATTACGGTCAAGCCACTGAAAATGGAGTAGTCCCTCTTCACCCTAAAATATAAAAATTGACACCGTAATTTCACAACAGATATTTAGACATTTATAAAGCAACACTTTTGTAAGATCGCCACCATTTAAGCTAGACGGGATCAAACTTAGGTGAACAACAAAAATGACAAACCAAATCAAATATGCTTTCTTTTGAATTCCTCATACCCTGCCTATACGAACAAGTCCTTTCCGTGAATCAGGGATAACTTTTTTCCCCTCTATGATCATTTTACCGGCACGAAATTCCATCAAAGTTTCCTGCTCAAAATAATACCAATATATGTCATTTATATCACCAATAAGAAACAATGAAATGTCAAATGAACAGAAAAATATTTACCATTTCATAAGATAGACTACATGTATGCTGCGCTTCTTTTTTGTAATTTTGTTTTCTTTAGAAAAGGGGAAAACAATTGAACAATGATACAGGAAAAATTAGAAAAGATATTCTTATCTTTGACAACTCAATATTTTCATTATGGAGAAAATCAGAAATTCGACATACAAGAGAGTAAGAGAGTTATGCTATAGGAAAGAAGAAAAAAGGGGCAGAGCTCTCTGTGACTGTCATCCAATCTGTGCATATAAATTGGGATATTCTGTGTACTCCAAGATGAACAAAAGGTACTTGCACATTTTCCGTCAAAGAAGTGGCATCCTTGACTCCTTCAAATGTCTTCCTATTCATATCCTTCCATGTGTGGATGGATCACATCTGACGGCTTCTCTCTCTTCCTCTTTCCTCCTCTGCTCCAACTGGTTGTAAGCTCCTCGGCACATCTAGGAATAACCTAGCGAAGCATCTTAAAAACAACATACCCAGTATAGTCCCACAAGTGGGGTCTGGGGAGGGTAGAGTGTACGCAAACCTTTCCCCTGCCTTTAGTAAGGCAGAGAGGTTGTTTCCGGTAGACCCTCGGCTCAGGACGGAGAGAGGGGAAAGGCAACAGCAAGCAAACTGATCTAACAACTGAAGCAGAAATACAAAAACTAGCAGTAGGCAATGCAATCAGGAAACTGAGACACAAGACAACAGCTAGTAACAGAAGTCTAGGGGTACGAAAAAAACACGAAAGACACCAAGTGGTGTATCAAAGCTACTGCTACAAACAAGGACAACACTTGGCCACCTAACTCTCTCCCTTTATTCTCAACCTCCACACCTTCCTATCTATCGTCATTTCCTCAGTGAGCTGGAGCAACACCATATCTTGCCTAATCACCTCTCCCCAATACTTCTTCGGCCTACCTCTGCCTCTCTGTTGGCCCTCCATGCCAGCCTCTAACACCTCCTCATCGGAGCATCATCTAAGCATCTTATTCTACAATATTGATGGCCATCATAGTGTATCATGAGGATCTAGTATTTTAGCGAAAAAACACAACTTTTATAAAGGATCTGCCTCTTTCTTACATTTTTCTACTGTTAAGTTGGGAATCCAAGACAATCTATACGAAAAAATGGTAAGTTAGGAAAGCAAAGTAGCCAGACAGACTCTATGAAGAAGTCACACCCCTTCCTCTTCAGAGGAAGATTAACAAGGATTTCACCAAGAACCTGCCCCCTGAACCTCAGTCCACTTCCAATTTTCTGAAAGTCATCTCAAACACTATAACCTTACACAATCATAACAGAAGTTTTTAAAAGATCCAAACACTGCACTTTACTTCTGTCCTCCTCATGGCATCCATCCCACCCTTGCACATGCTTATTGAATGATACATGCTCTAACCTGCCTGTAGCATCCAACTTCTTCTTACCCTCGCTTAACCGATGCCGCTCTTTAACAGTCATGATAACTTTCTGAGTTTCTCATAGCTAATGGCATGAATCACCATAGACTTCTCATCTTCCGATACCTGACCACAACTATGAGCAACTTATCATGTTCGATGTCAAAATCGGCGTGCCCGCTGCTTAAATGAATCATGTAGCGAATTTCAAGACTTCGCCAATCTTATTTTGACTAGCATTGCAAAATTTGCAGAATCTATGAGACTGAAAAAACAGCCGAACTTCATAATTATCCCCATGACAAACCAGCTCATACTTTACATTTTGTACTAAATCTTTTGTTTTCTTATGTATTGGTAATATCTTTCTAACGTAGACACCACAAGCATCACCCCTTTGTTTTCCTAAACAAAAGACCAAAAGCAACGGATAGCTTTTCACTATACTGTACTATGCTTTCTCAAACAAGAATCATATGTGGCTGCTTTTGGACTATTCATTCTTCATCTGGAACAGTGGAAAGAGTAAAAAGTGATGAATTCAGCTATGACTTCATCGTAGTTGCTTTTCATCCATATAAACCAAAACATACTGGGAAAAGTTACATGCATCGCTTCCTCCATTGACCTGCTGCTATCCAAACTTGACAATGCAGTAACAGTAAAGCAAAGCATTGCTCAATAAAAACCAGTGGTGGAATTAAGTGGCCACAAATGAGCTACTGGCACTATGCCTTCCTCCTCCGCTGGGGTTGGCCTCCCAGACCAAGATAGCGACGATATTACTTCTGCTGGACATCCATATATACTGAAAATGGATGGAGCTGTTTTTTGGAACAATTAAAATCTTAGGAAAGCCAAAAACAGTTAATGATCGAGTTAACATATTTGCAAACCTTCCTATCACTCCCTTCACCCTTGAGACTTGATTATCAGAAGACAACTGAGGAAGATGCACAACACTGGCTAGCTCCGAATCAGAATAAACCTCCAAATATTGGCTGAAGGTAAAAGGTGAAAAGCAAGAGAAAGGGCTTTCATTATTTAAAAATGTTTTGAGAATACAAATTTTTTTTTTTTTTTGATAAGGATGTTTTGAGAATACAATATCATTCAGAAAATAGGGAATTACATATATTGAAGTGATGGGACATTATGTAGCATTTCCTTAAAGTTAGATAGAATTGAGTTGGTTTGGACCAGCCCAAAATCCAAGCAAAGAATCAACAAGACAGTTTAATTAAGTACAAAAGATCATAGAACCGCCAAATAAATAGCCTAGTCTTACTTATAGAAAAATAAATAAATTATAAATATCCCAGGCAAGAACCCAAACTGCTTAACATAAAATGTAACTATATTTAGTAACAACCTCTCTAACACCCCCCCCCCCCCCCCGGCAATTTCTGTCCCGCAGTCAATGCTAATAATCCTTTTCAGCGAATGATTTTCCCCCATCCAAGTAAGAATCTGCTTTCAAATAGAAGAAAGACAATGCTAGAAATCAACCATACTGGAAAAACATAATAAACTAAGCATGATTCCAAACTCCCTCACATTTCCTGCTGATTATGAGAGAGACCTTAACAAAAGAAGATTTCCAGCAGGGCAAACATATAAGCACTAAAGCATAAAGTGCAAATTATTTAAAATCAACTATAAAATCGAAAAAGAAATAAATAAATAGCCCAGACAAGAAACCGAAACAGCCTAAAATAAAATCTAACTATTTTTGGTAACAACCTGTCTCACTGTCACTCTCCCCCCCCCCCCCGGGCCCTTTCCTCTTCCTCTCTCCCTCTTGCCCCTTCAGGCAACCTCTGGCAATTTCTGTTGCACCGTCAATCTAGTGATCCTTTAGGCGAATGATTTTTCTATCCAAGTAAGAATCTGCTTTCTAATGGAAGAAAGACAATGCTAGAAATCAACCATTCTGGAAAAAAATAAATCAAACTTAGCATGATTCCAAACTCCCTCATGTCTCTTGCTGATTATGCTTACCTAAACAAAAGAAGATTTCCAGCAGGCAAACACATAAGCCACTAAGGCATAAAACATCAAAGTACAATCCATTTTGGATGAGAGTGCACCCGCCTGGACAAGCACCCTCCCTTGACTGTCAGGGTAGCTTTGTTTTGCCTCATCCACAGGTCAACTTAAACGATGCCTTTGAAAACACTAGTTGCAGGTTGCTGTACCATTCTTGTAACCATCATTTTTTATCGGTACTCTTATAACAGCCATTGATTGTGTTATTGTGCTTTTCAACCATTTAATCCTCCAGATCAACTATTGTATTTTCCTTCCTATCTTGCACTCAAGTAAAGGAGAGAAAATGTCTGCTGCTACTGCCACCACGACAGTTTTAAGGCTTTTCAGACATATGCCAAATGCCCAAAAAAATCTATTATTATGATGTGTGCTACTAACCACAGGCTGCCACCCACACAAAAGTTTCTTTCTTTTTTAGTTAGGAGAATACTTTTAAAAGAGAAGTTTTCTTCAAAAGTATGAAATGCTTGCACCCAAACCTTATTCTATTTCTCTTCAAATTATAAACACTAAAATAAAGAAGCTTGATACTTCAGATCTCTAGGTTTTACTTTACATCTTCAGATATGTAGTTCAGTTCTTTCTACCACAACTTTTGTGTTAAGAGCAGGAAAAGCGCAACACCTATGCAGGTTGTTTACACTGCATAATAATCTGCATCATACTAATTGCAAAAACTGAATGCCCTGAACTTCTCCCAGTCCTAATCATTGTACAGTGTAAAAAAGCAACAGGTCTGAATGAATTAACTATGGGATTCTATCAACATTACAGGGAAGTCATTAAAAGTGATCTGTTGAATGCCTGGAACTTCTTCCATAGTCATGATCAATTCAAAAGGCGATTAGATGCATCCTTCATTGCTTTAGTCCCCAAATAATGGAGCTAAAGAACTTATAGAAAACATTTTATACCATAAGCTGTATTATCTCAAAAGTACTTACGTCTAGCATATGTTCATCCCCGCACATACTAGACAGTCAAAACACCTTTTTAAAGCACTTATGCAAGTTTTTAAATCACGCTTTTAGAAAAGAAAGCAATCAAGAGGCTAAAGTCTCACTTGGCTCAAAGCCAAGCCAAAGCATATAGCCTCTACTTATCTTCCGTGTCTGATCTCAGTCAGACACATCCAATCTAGGCAAAATATGCAGTAACAGTGTTAATTACCCATATCTGACGACTCTCCGTCAACAAGGTCTCGTTAGAGCTACTACGTTTTCATATTCAGTGAGTCAAATATGTGATTTATCCATTCTTGGTCCAATTACCCATTCAATTACTCGATTTTTTTTTGTTTGGACTTTAGGCTCGTTGTGGGATTCCACTGGGTTGTTGTTGTTGTTGTTGTTGTTGTTGTTGTTGTTGGACTTTAGGCTCAAATTCATGAATTTTCTATGTCTAAATCCTCAATCTCAAATCAAAAGTATACATAGATTCATGTATAAAATCTTGAATCTATAAACCCAATCAATTCCAATTGGAAATAACTTAATCTCAATGCTTATAATACAATTTAAACTTAAATCTAAACAAATTGTATTTCAATCCCAACAATAATTGTATCTATAAATATTCCTGGTAGATTAAAAAAAATAATTATATCTAATAATATTAATTAAATGGAAACAAAAAGGATTAGAACCTTGAATCATTGCAAACCAAGCTTGGGTTTCTCTTTTCTTCTTCCTCCTCTCTTTCTACCTCACTCTCAAGTTAAGGAATTGCTTCGGATGAATCTTATTTGCCTTGTCTCGGTACAGCTTCTAGAGAAGTGCACCCTAATCTTTTGGAAGCCCCACTATATGTTTTAGCTTGTATTATAGATTATATTAAAACTTTTATTCATGTCAGAAAGCTCCTAAATGAGCTCACTTGATGAACTTCACATAGAGCTAATACAGCAGAAGCTTAGACGGTTGTGATGACTCTATAAAACCCTTTGCTCCTCAGTTTTAATTTCTGGGCTTTGACTGTTCACTTATTTCATTCTCCTTTTTTATGCTCAACGACAAAAGTAGTCCTCATTAACTACTTTTATCTCCAACACTTAAAAGTCCTATTCAGCACTGGTTACTATGATAATATGTTCTGCGTGTCATAAGATATAATTACCAGTGACCAATTAATCAATCAACTAACCATCAAGGGCCTGACTGCGGCATGTAAAGGATGGCCAATATAGTATAACTATTCTTTAAAGACCAACCTCTGTAGAAGCTTTTGTTCACATTGCTAGAGTCCTCAAGATCTGCAAGTCTTCTTTAGTTTATTCATATGTCTGTATCAACCAAGTCTTTACCTCCAACAAAGGCATTTCCTTTTAAATAATGATGGTATTAATATCAGTTGGCGTGTACCTCGACTATTCCATCAGGTAGCTTCTATCTTCCATCAACACATGTAGTCGTGTACTGAGTAACTCTACCACCAAAGTCTAGGTGGCTAGGGAAAAATCACCTTAAAAAAATTGTCTCTGTTGGAATTTGAATCCTAGTCTCCCGAGATTTTCACTTAGTTTATTGACGGCTCTGTCACACCTTAGGTACTACATACGTTATCTATTTTCTTAACTAATACCTTTACAGCTATATCTCAACCTTGCTGGCATAAATCCTTATAGCATAAGTAGCGACCTGCGACAATACGACTAATCTAGTCAAGCGGCAATTTGCTTTTCCTAACTCCTCCTCCAAGGAAAACAATAAAAATATTAAATGAGCTGATACAAGAGTGTCCTTGAAGTTTAAGAACATAATCTTCTAGCAGGTAATAACAGTGCTAAGGTGTTGCAGAACAATAACAATAGAAGCATATTTAGCGGGTACCTGAATTTGGGGAAAAGCATCCGTCGATGAAGAACCCATGAAGGCTATTATGTGTAAACAGAGAACTGAAAGCAAATTGGTAATTTGAGAGAAAAAAAAATAAAGTACTTCACTATATATTCATTTGAAGCACATTAAATTAAAAGGAAATTCAAAATAAAAAAGCTATTCAGATCTTCAAGGATTGAATATAGTTTTTAGAGAATAAGCCGTAAACCCTAGGTAAGGCCCCGCCTTAGGCCCCACATATTAAACGGAAAAGGGCCGAAGTACCCTTAAAGTATTGAATTTGGTACAATAAAGTCCTCCTTCCACCTTTTTTAATACAAAAGCATTTGCTCTTTAATTTTTAGCTCGGCTATGTCCTTATTTCTAACCGTCTTCTATTTTAAAAAAATTAATTCACGTGTTATATTTTTCTTGGCTGAACTTAAAATATAGCCCTAAACACTAACTCACCCGTAACCCACTCATTACTGACCCGCCCCCTTTAATTCATTTTAACCCAAAGAATCCATTCTTTAAAGACACAACAGCGTCTTTTTCTTCTTCCTCTTTTCATTAGGGTTCTTCAAATTCTCCATCTCCCATCTCCAGTTGCTGAACTTTGTATTGACGAGAGACAAAGAATTGCTTCTGATAGTATTATAGTGGTCAGGTAAACTTCTTAAACTTTTGATGCATGACATACTTGTTTGTTATGTGATACTGAACTTTGTAAGGTATTTGTAATGCAGTATAAAAATATTACATCCTCAATCCACGGATGGTACAACAAAGAAAACTTTGAAAGGAAAAATAAGAATCAACACACGCTGCTTGTGGCTTGACAAAGGGAAACTTCTGCATGCGCTTTATAATGCTTGGAGTGGCTGACTGGGTTGTTTAATGTTACTTTCCGAACAGAGAGGATGCCGGAGGAGTGGAGGTGGAGTACGGTGGTGCCATTGTACAAGAACAAAGGTGATATCCAGAGTTGTAACAACTATAGGGGTATCAAATTACTGAGTCATACCATGAAAGTTTGGGAGAGGGTGGTAGAAGTGAGGGAGAGGAGGGCAGTATCTATTTCAGACAACCAGTTCGGGTTCATGCCGGGGCGTTCTACCACGGAAGCTATCCACCTTATTCGGAGGTTGGTGGAACAATATAGGGAAAGGAAGAAG